TTTTAGTAGAGACAGGGTTTCACCGTGTTAGCCAGGATGGTCTCGATCTCCTGACCTTGTGATCCGCCCGTCTCAGCCTCCCAAAGTGCTGGGATTAGAGGCTTGAGCCACCGCGCCCGGCCCACCACACATCTCTTTTACACTGGGATGACAAGTGGCTATTATACCAGGTTCTATAATCCATTATCTACCAGAGGTGTGTGAAATTTAAAAATTACTAAACTCCCAGATTTCCATTCCCTTATCTATAAAATAGAGATATTTCCCACTCCTCAGGGGTATTGAGATATTCCTACAGCATCCAGTTCAGTGCACGGCACACAACAGATGCCCAACAAATGTCGGTTCCTTTCTTTCTACTCCACAGCCCTTTTAGTTATACACAGTAAACCTGTACTGTGGCCAAAATGTAGAAAGTGGATGTTTGGGGTAGGGGGACAGAGAGCTAATTCCAGGACTACAGGTTTAAAAGTATAAATGAGGATCTAGGAAGATCTGCCTGAGATTCTCCTACTCAACAAATAGTAACTATTTAAAAAATTGCTTAGTCTGGGATAACAGAGAAGGAAAGAAAAATGCCAGGCATAAAAATTGTCCCAGATTCAGGAACACCCCAGTGAAATGCTCTGGTATGAGAAACCCAGCCAGCTAATCACCTATAATCCTCTTTCTGAATAGTATGGGTCATGGAAATATCAATAGAGGCCAAGTCATTTTAAGAAGTTCTAAAATTAGGCCAGGGGCAGTGGCTTAAGCCTGTAATCCCAGCACTTTGGGAGGCCGAGGCAGGCAGATCACCTGAGGTCGGGAGTTCGAGACCACCCTGACCAACTCAGAGAAACCCTGTCTCTACTAAAAATACAAAATTAGCTGGGCATGGTGGCACATGCCTGTAATCACAGCTACTCCAGAGGCTGAGGCAGGAGAATTGCTTGAATCCGGGAGGCGGAGATTGAGGTGAGCTGAGATCGCACCACTGCATTCCAGCCTGGGCAACAAGAGCAAAACTCTGTCTCAAAAAAAAAAGAAAAAAAAAATTGTTCTAAAAATAATTACAAGTCAGAGCCTAAGATGAAGGTATATACAGACCAAGGTCCAATGAGATGGTTCTCTGGGATAGTGAGAACATTTAATGAGAGATTGAACACACGCAAACACACTAGAGTTCTTGACTCTCAGAGAAGGCACAAAGAAGTACCTAGTTAGCACTGGCTCTTTCATAAAAATGACTGAGCAAACTGGCAACAAAACCAACAGGTCTTCTGTTCTCAAGGCAGCAAATGTAATGGAATGAAAGGTGCAATCATGGAACCTCTAACTCCTGCAACCTCTAACTCCTGGGCTCAGGCAATCCTCCTACCTCAGCCTCCCAAGAAGCTGGGAGTCTCGCTATGTTGCCCAGACTGGTCTCGAACTCCTGTGCTTAAGCAATCCTCCTGCCTCGACCTCCCAAAGTGCTGGGATTACAGGTGTGAGCCACCACGCCTGGCTTGGGATCAGGTTTTTGTTTTTTTGTTTTTTGAGACAGAGTGTCTGTCACCCAGGCTGGAGGGCAGCGGGGCCCAGGCTGGAGGGCAGTGGCGGGATCTCGGCTCACTGCAAGTTCCGCCTCCCACGTTCACGCCATTCTCCTGCCTCAGCCTCCCGAGTAGCTGGGACTACAGGCGCCCGCCACCTCGCCCGGCTGTTTTTGTATTTTTTTTAGTAGAGACGGGGTTTCACCATGTTAGCCTGGATGGTCTTGATCTCCTGACCTCGTGATCTGCCCACCTCAGCCTCCCAAAGTGCTGGGATTACAGGCATGAGGCACCGCACCCCGCCTGGGATCAGGTTTTCTAACAGAACCTGAGAGGGCTGCACTTCTCCCTCCCTCTTTGGTGGACAGACTCAAAATACCCCTTTTGCTACTGTGAAGACGGCTGGT